GACATTCGCATTTGTAAAAGTGTCAACATATTTGGAAAATGACAAAAGAAATACTAAGAAGGATTGACTCTGAGAAATAAAATTTAGGGTAAGGAAGAAGAGAAAGACTTGTTAAATGTGAAAATTTGTCATCCAGATATAATATTGAAAAGCATATGAACCTTTGGAGAACTATTTGGTAGTTTCTTATAAAGTTAAATATATATCTGTCTTATGACCCAGTAATTTCACTCCAAGTTATCAACCCAAGAGAAATGAAAAATATATGTCTTCAAATACACTTGTATACAAACATTCACAGCAATCTTATTCACATAGCACTAAACAGGAAATAACTCACATGTCCATCTACTGTATAATGAATAAACAGTTATATTTCAACAATAGAATACTACTTGGCAATAAAAAATAATGAATTACTGATAGCAAGAAAAACCTGGATGAATCTTATATTCTTCTGAGTGAAAGAAGCCACACACACCCCAAAAAAGAGTATATATACATATTGTATGATTCCGTTTATATGAAGTTCTAGGATCGACAAAACTAATCTACAATGACAGAAGTCAAATACTTAGCCTGGTGGTGGTGGAGAGTGGGACAGTGGGAGGGACAGTGTTTGAGGGAGGCCAGAGGATTAACTGAAAATAGACAGAATGGAACTTTTTGGGGTGATGAAAATGTTCTTTGTCTTGTTTTGGCTGGTAGCTACCTGGATGTATACAACTGTCAGAACCATTATGGCTTCCTTTTGTAAAAATAGTGGGAAGAGAAAACAAGAAATTATTGTATTCCCTACTCTCTTATGGGGACTCCTCTTTACATGTACTATACATACACTTATTTCCTCATTTTATCCACAGAACAGCCTTATAAAGTAGGTTTTGGATTTTATTGCCATTTTACAGATAAGAAAACTAGAATTAACTAGCTAAACCATGTACTGAAGAGAGTAAAGAGGCTGGGACCAAACCCAAGACTTCATTCATGTAGAATACATACCTAAAATTCAAGTACATCCCCTACATATCCCTTTCCATTCACAGCCACAATTCCTGAAAGTTTATCTTTACTATTGCCACTTTCTCACTTCTACTTCTTTCTGAATGCCATGTGCTTCCATGCAAAAGCATGGAAAAATTTCATCGAAATTGCTCCAGGATTGCCAATAACTTTATAACAGCCAAACCCTAAGGATACTCTTCACTCTTTATCAATCTAACTTTTGTGGTCTGATCTCTTACTTTTGAGACACTGTCCTCCCTGGGCTAACTGATTATTCCTTCTCCTTATTCTTTTTGAGACAGGGTCTCACTCTGTTATCCAGGCTAAAGTGCAGTGGTGTCATCATAGCTGACTGTAGCCTTGAACTCCTGAGCTCAAGCCATCCTCCTGCCTCAGCCTCCCAGGTAGCTGGGTCTATAGATATGCGCCACTGTACCAGGCTAATTTTCTTATTTTTTGTAGAGACATGATATCTCTATGTTGCCCAGGCTGGCCTTGAAATTCTGGGCTAATGTGATCCTCCCCCTTCACCTCCCAAAGTGCTAGGATTACAGGCAGGAACCACCAAGCCACACCCCCTTCTCATTATTCTTATTGGCACTTCTTCTCCACTTACACCTTTAATTTTGATGTCTGCTAAAAGCTAGGATTTTTTCCTTGATTCTTTTTTTTTTTTTCTTTTTGTATGATCGGCAGGAACTTTACTGATATCCTTGATTCTTTGTGCTAGATTTTTTTTCAACTTCAGAATTTCTATTTGGTTCTTTTTTTTTTTTTTTTTTTTTGAGACAGAGTCTTGCTCTCTTGCCCAGGCTAGAGTGCCTTGGCATCAGCCTAGCTCACAGCAACTTCAAACTCCTGGGCCCAAGCGATACTTCTGCTTCAGCCTCCCAAGTAGCTGGGACTACAGGCATGCACTACCATGCCCAGCTAATTTTTTCTATATATTTTTAGTTGGCCAATTAATTTCTTTATATTTTTAGTAGAGGTGGGGTCTTGCTCTTGCTCAGGCTGGTTTTGAACTCTTTTTTTTTTCTGTTGTTTTTTAATTTTATTTTTATTTATTTATTTTATTTATTTTTTTTTTGAGACAGAGTCTCGCTTTGTTGCCCAGGCTAGAGTGAGTGCCGTGGCATCAGCCTAGCTCACAGCAACCTCAAACTCCTGGGCTCAAGTGATCCTCCTGCCTCAGCCTCCCGAGTAGCTGGGACTACAGGCATGTGCCACCATGCCCGGCTAATTTTTTTTCTCTATATATATTAGTTGGCCAATTAATTTCTTTCTATTTATAGTAGAGACAGGGTCTCGCTCTTGCTCAGGCTGGTTCTGAACTCCTGACTTCAAGCAATCCGCCTGCCTCGGCCTCCCAGAGTGCTAGGATTACAGGTGTGAGCCACCGCGCCCAGCGTATTTGGTTCTTTTTTACTGGTTAATATTCTCTATCTGGTGAAACATCATTCTCATATTTTCCTCTAGTTCTTTACATATGGCTTCCTTTAGTTCTTTTAACATACTTAAAACAGCTAATTTAAAGTCTTTGTCTAGTAAGTCCAATGTTTTAGCTTCCTGAAGGATAGTTCCTATTGACTGCTTTTTTTCCTGTGTATAGGCAATACTTTCTTATTTATCTGCATGTCTCTTAGTTTTTTATTGAAAACTAGACATTTAAAATAATATGACTACTCTAAAAATCAATCAGATTCTCTCCATTTCCCTGAGTTTGTTTGCTAGTATTGCCATTTGTTGTTGTTATTGTTTATTTGGTGATTTTTCCTAATTCTATAAAGTCTATATTTTTTGCCACATATGGCCACTGAAGTTTTTTCTCGGTTGCTAAGTGGTCAGCTACTGACTAAACAGAGATTTCCTTAAATGCCTGAACTAGTAAGTCTCTGGTCTTGGCTGGACCTCTATGTGTGTTGGGATATTCAGCCAGGCAGCTTATAACTCTTCCTTAGCCTTTACTTCCTGCTTGTGCAGAGCCCCAAGGTTAGCCAGAGGTAAGGACTTCTCAGTCTTTCCTGAGCATGCACACAGCTCTGACCATGAGCACAGCCATATGTATCTTGAATTTCGAGATTCCCAGAAATATTGCAGATCTTTTCAAAGGCCCCAGTGGACATCTGATTTGCCAGATTTTCCTTTTAAGGTTTTTGGTTATTTGGTTGTTTACCCAAATTGGCACCCCTACCTGACTACTTTGTTAAACAGTTGTCAATGATCATTTTTGATAAATGCCTCTGGGGGAAATTGCTTTGCACTGGGCAAGTTCTCAGTCAGGTTAAATAAAGATAAACCTTCAAGTAGGGTTTACCAGTACACTGTCAGAAAGGTCAAATAATGATAACTCTCTGCTGGGAGGCTGAGAGGGGCAGATTGCTTGAGGTCAGGAGCTCAAAACCAGCCTGAGCAAGAATGAGACCCAATCTCTACTATAAATAGAAAGAAATTAATTGACCAACTAAAAATATATAGAAAAAATTAGCCGGGCATGGTGGCGCATGCCTGTAGTCCCAGCTACTCGGGAGGTTGAGGCAGTGGGATCGCTTGAGCCCAGGAGTTTGAGGTTGCTGTGAGCTAGGCTGACTCCACAGCCTGACTCCCAGGCTGACTACTCTAGCCTGGGGCAACAGAGTGAGACTCTGTCTCAAAATAAAAAAATAAGTAATTCAGTAGAAGAGGGGAAATAAAGTACTAAAAAGTACTCAATTTTAAAACAGCATACAAAAGAGAAAGAAAAAACCAATGAGGAGACAATACAAAAAGAAAGCAAATAGCAAGGTGGTACATCACATATGTATGTGTGCATATAGATCTGTCTACACCTCTCTCTCCATCTATTTTCTCTAGTAGATTATACGCATACTAAATTTGAGTGATAAATAGAAATAAACCAATGTTAATCACTATAATGACTTCATTAATTTTAACTTTTCTATTTCAGAATTTATGAGAATTTATTAAATTTTATTAAATTAATTAACTAATATAATAAAGCAATATGGAAAAGCACAAAATCTACCTACCTTCACAAAAATAAATCAAAGAATTTTAGTGTCAAAAGCTGTCTTAGAAACGGCATTGTACAAGTTTATCATTTTACAATTAAGGAACTAAGAGTGCTTAGTTGACTGAAAGTGCTTAATTGACTGAAAAAATAGTCACATGACAAGTCAACATCAGAGCCATAGCAAAATTCTCATTTCAGAACTGCTAGTCCTTGGAAACCCAGTCTTGCCCAATTTAAAATCTGAGGTAAAATATTTTAAAAATTAAAAAAAGAAAAAAAATGTAAATAAATAAATAAAAAGTGCTAGTCCTGCTGTCTCAAGAGAAAATAATTTCCATGCAACAAAGCACCACACGTACTCACCAGCAAATTGGTATTAACTGATCAACACCTAAGTGGACATATAGGAATAACATTTATCAGGTGTTGGGCAGGTGGGGGGGATGGGTATATACATACATAATGAGTGCCATGCACACCAACTGGGGTGTGGACATGCTTGAAGCTCTGACTCTCGAAGAGGGAGGGGGAGCAGGGGCAATATATGTAACCTTAACATTTGTACCCCCATAATATGCTAAAAAAAATTAAAAAAAAAATTTCCATGCAACATCAATCATATATACAACTACACAAAAATAATGTGCTCATTTCAAATGATTCTTATCTAGCAGGTCTAGCAAGATCTCTATTTGGAAACATCCTATTAGTTAACTTATATACCTATATCTGAAAATAATCAAACTTTCAAATATATATATTATTGAATTTACAGTTTCAATTAATTCAAATCCTCATTAATTAATCAAGATTATTGGAGTATATTGTACTTAAAGGAAAATCTTAAATATTATAAACAATGATTTAAAGCACCAGCTACAAAGTTCAGAGAATACAATCTTCCATTCAAATCAATCACTAAATCATTCATACTTGTGGCAAAAATTATTTTTTTTTAATTTATGAAATCTGTGTGTAGCATTACCTGTAGCTCCCAGTGGGTGTCCCTTTGAAATCAATCCACCGCTAGGATTTATAACCCATTTTCCTCCATAAGTATTGTCTCCTCTATCAACCAGTGTCCCACCTTCTCCTACAGAAGGAAAAATAATATTCACAAATGTTAAAAATAACATTGGAACAAATGGTATGCTTTTTAAAAATTTCCATATGGCCAAGAATTTCTTAGAGCAAACATTTGTTAACAGTTTAGACTAACAACAATGTAATATAAGCACTTCTAAAAGTAATAAATATTGAATAATAAAGGCTTATATTTTCAATACATGTTCTGTATGAAACAAAACCTATTTTTTCCTTGGAGCTCCGAGGCTTTCCAAAATTGCTCCAAACATAATAGAAATTCAGAGAGCCAGAAGAAAAGAACTGAAATGGATATAATACTATGACTAAAATAATTATGCCAGCTTTAAAAATTCATAATTTTGTCAAAAAGTATTCATTTCTCTCCATTTTCAACTATACTAGGATAAGTTATACAAATATTTATGATACACAGGGGAAAAACAGGAAAAAAACTTTCATAAAATGAAAGGAAATGGCTGAACATACTTTTTAGCCACAAAAGTAAGGTTAAAAAAAAATTGCTGGCCGGGCATGGTGGTTCACACCTGTAATCCTAGCACTCTGGGAGGCCAAGGCGGGAGGATCACTTGAGCTCAGGAGTTTGAGACCAGCCTGAGCAAAAGCAAGACCCCATCTCTACTGAAAAAATAGAAAGAAATTAGCTGGACAACTAAAAATATATAGAGAAAAAATTAGCTGGGCATGGTGGTGCATGTCTGTAGTCCCAGCTACTTGGGAGGCTGAGGCAGGAGGATCGCTTGAGCCCAGGAGTTTGAGGTTGCAGTGAGCTATGATGATGCCACTGCAATTTATCCTGGGCAACAAAAGTGAGACTCTGTCTCAAAATAAATAAATAAATAAATAAATAAGAAAAAATTTAAAAAATTAACTGGCTCAGAGGTACATGTCTATAGTCCCAGCTACTGAGGTGGCTGAGGCAGGAGAACCACTTGAACCCAGAAGTTTAAGGCTGCAGTAAGCTATGATTGCAACACTGCACTTGAGCCTAGGTGACAGAGTGAAACACCATAAGAAGGAAAGAAAAAGGGAAGGGAAGGAAGAAGGGAAGGGAAGGAAGAATGGAAGGGAAGGAAAGGGAAGGAAGAAGGGAAGAGAAGGGAAGGGAAGGGGGAAGGGAAGAGGGAAGGGGAAGGGAAGGGAAGGGGGAGGGGGAAGGGAGGGAAGGAGGGGAGGGGAAGGAAGGAGGGGAGGAAGAGGAGGGGAGGGGAAGGAAGGGAGAAGGGGGAAGGGGAAGGAAGGGCAAGGGGAAAGGAAGAGGAGGGGAAGAACAGGGAAGGAAGGAGGGGAAGGGGAAGGGGGAGGGGGAAGGAAGGAAGGAAGGGAAGGGAACGGGAAAAGAAAGAAAAGAAAAGAAAGAAAAGAAAAGAAAGAGAAAAGAAAAGAAAGAAAGAACGAAAAGAAAAGAAAAGAAAAGAAAAAAAAAGAAAAGAAAAGAAAGGAAAGGAAAGGAAAGGAAAGGATAAGGAAAGAAAGGAAAGGAAAGGAAAGGAAAGGAAAGGAAAAGGAAGGAAAGGAAGGAAAGGAAAGGAAAGACAAGGAAAGGAAAGGAAAGCGAGAAAAAGAAAAGAAGGCCGGGAATTCGGTGGCTCACGCCTGTATCCTAGCATGCCTGGAGGCAGGGCAAGGAGGATGCTCGAAAGTCAGGAAGTTCACAACACCAGTCTGAGCAAGAGCGAGACCCCATCTCTACTATAAATAGAAAGAAATTAATTGGCCAACTAATATATATAGAAAAAAGTAGCTGGGCATGGTGGCACATGCCTGTAGTCCCAGATACTCGGAAGGCTGAGGCAGGAGGATTGCTTGAGCCCAGGAGTTTGAGGTTGCTGTGATCTAGGCTGATGCACAGCACTCACTCTAGCCTGGGCAACAAAGCAAGATTCTGTTTCAAAAAAAAAAAGAAAGAAAGAAACAAAAAGAAAAGAAACAAAAATTAATTTAAGAAAAGACACAGATTAATTACAAAACCCACAAAAATATGAAATCGAAAACACTCCTTATCCAAGCATTGGATAACAGATACTCAACCTGAATTAATAAAACAAAAAGGCAAGCCATAGACTGGGAGAAAATGTTCACAACACACATATGTCAGACAAATGACTTGTATCCAGATGCTATATATAAAAACTTTTACAACACAATAAAGACAAATAATCAATAACCAAAGGGCAAATATAAGAACAGACACTTCACAAAAGAAGACATGAATGACCAATAAGCACATGAAAAGATACTCAACATCATTAGTCATGGGGATATGCAAATTAAAATAAGATACTACTATATATTCTTCAGGATAGCTGAAATTTTTTAAACTGACCATATCAAGTGTTGGCATGAATAGAAAGCAACTAAAATTCTCCTATATTGCTGATAGTAATGGAAAATAGTACAACCACTTTAGAAACAACAAAAAAAAAAATCTAGATTCCACCAACTAGTTTTCCATTTTCCTTTCTGCCAGTCTTTATTCAAATACAATATGAAATAGTTGGAATTATATATTTAATTTTAAATCCATTTTCATTTAATAGTACATTATAAGTACTCCTGATTTACATAATACAAATTATTTGGATACTCTGTTATCTCAGTGTTGATACTGTACAAGACTACACATACTAAAAAGTCCAGTACCAAAACAGCTTATGTTCACTTTGTCTGGTATGGCATAGCCAACATGGAGGAAAAGGCAATTAGTTAAGTCTGTTGTTTAATGGTGAAAATGAAGTTTTCTCAGTGAAATTTACCCAATCTCCCCTCTTCAAACATATTACCTTCTGGACAGAGCCCTAATGCTTCATAAGTAAGGAGTTCATTGGAAGAAAAGCAATCATGAAGTTCTATTACATCAATATCACTTGGTCTCAGGCCAGATTTCTCATAGCATTTTTTGGCAGCTTCTTTACTCATATCAAAGCCAACCTAAAACCAAAACCATATATAAATAAATTAAGGGCATCAAAACTGGGTTTTTATTTTTTTTTTTTAGACAGAGTCTCACTCTGTTGCCTGGGCTAGAGTGCTGTGGCATCAGCCTAGCTCACAGCAACCTCAAACTCCTGGGCTCAAGCAATCCTCCTGCCTCGGCCTCCCAGAGTGCTAGGATTACAGGTGTGAGCCACGGCGCCTGGCCAAGAATGGGTTATAATATTACAATATGTAGACCAAATTTTTGTAAGTAAAATTTTTTTGCAAGCATTAACTTCCCCGGCCAGTTGGCTCATGTCTGTAATCCCAGCACTTTGGGAGGCTGAGGCAGGAGAATCACTTGAGCCCAGCCGTCAGAGGTTGCAGTGAGCTATGATGATGCCACTCTAGCCAGGGCAACAGAGCAAGACTCTTTGTCTCTTAAAAACAAAAAAAACAAAAAAAACTTCCAGAGCTGATGACAACATAAACTCACTTTCAAATTTTAAACAGTAATCCCTCAATTTGATTAATAAAACAGAATCGCAGACATACCACTTTAATAACACTTTTTTCTTCAAATGAGCTTGGCAAATCAGTCACCATTTCTTGCGCCAAAATTTCCACAGCTTTGTGTTGCAGGCCAAATTTCTGTACAAATATTTCACTGGCCAAAATTGCCGCTGCAGCACCATCTGAAGAGGGACTAAGACAAAGTAAAAATAATTATTTGCAACCAGTACTACCTCAAATCTAGGGTTTCACACTAAGAGTTCTTTCTGTGTGAGAAAAAAGACCAATGCTTGCTAGTCAGTGGATTATCTTCTTTGTGATATCTGTAGTCACAAATTGCACATGCTTCCTACCTGAGGAATGAACCACTATCAAGAACTTAAACGTAATCAGTCACTACTTGGTCTCTAAGAGTTTCTCTCAAAAAGTTCTTATTGGAAAGAATCCCAGATTTGCCTCTGGAAATGTATTAGGCATCTCATAGTGACTTCTGAGGAGTTAAGTACAGACGGATATTCCTCTCCTAGGTACACTAAAGATTCTACTATAGACCTATCTTGCTCCAACTTTGTTATCTCCCAAATAACTCAGTCATGAAATCCTTTTGGAAACTGGGAAAGGACAGAATTAGGGGATACCAAAAAGTAGATGGTTTAGTTTAGACTCGTGAACTCTCAAAATAGATCTTTCTCTTAGAACAAGCCGTGAAGGAAGGCGGCAAACACAAGAAGCCCTCTGTGAGTTCAGCTGGACTTTCTAAATGGGCAGATCCTTATACTGCAACAGAAAAAAGCTGACTCAACTTGTTCACTTCCATCCCAGCCAGTATCTCCAGGGAATAGTGAGGCGTTAACTAGGACACAGGCAGGAGCCATGCCATATTCAACTCAACCGTAGGAGACAGATATTATCAAGCAATTAAGATATAACTATTATCATCATTAGTGTTAGATGATTTTTTTTCCTTGTTTTACTTTTCCTCTTAGTTACTACTACAGAGTAAAATTTCCTGTAGTACAAGTATACAACAGGGAAACAGAATGCTTGAGGAAAAAACTTTTGAGCTCCACTGGCTCCCTAAGCCACATTTTAATGAATAAATACAATTAAAATAACCAAAGTAAGTAAAAGTCATAAGAGAAGGAAGTAAAACACAGTTTTCCAAGAGAAGAGACAGTCTGTCTCCAGACAGGGGTACTCCAGTGAAGTAACCCGGAGTGAGAACTGTATTGTTAGGAATTCTGTAAAAGCTATACCCGGATACAGAGCCCAAGGTTTAGGGGCGGGGGCGGAGATGATGGACAGGGAGAGAGCAGTTACTTCTATCTATTAAATGTGAAAATATGTTTTTCTTACCAACATTGTAGGAGGGTCAAGAAATCAAAAATTTTTCTAGATGCCATCACTTCATCTAAACTGTATTCATCTTGGAACTGGGAATACCTAAATACAACATAAATATTAGTTACAGAATGTGAAGTAGCAATTGCAATTTTTGTTTCAGAGTTATAGACAGAATAATATGTAAAGATTCTTTTCACAACCAAAAGAGACTTTAAAAACAGCTTCAACCTTTAATAAATAAGTCATCTGAGTTAAAAAAAAAATCTTAACTCCAAAATACCATGTTATAAAATAAAAAAATTGGTCTTTTTCCAAGGTTCCAGCATGAAGCTTCTAAAATCCTTAGAATTTCCTCAGAGATAGGTGTGTCTTTGTTATGCTAATGAGGTGACTGGAGGTAGGCCCCCCCTGTTACCTTCAAGATGGGAGACTGGCCACAAAAAAGAACAACCCTGTGTATATAAAATTGAGACTTTTGAGCCAGGTCAACCTCTGGGGAGAAAAGGAAAGCTAGAGATTCAGTTTAGTCATGTAGCCAATGATTTAACTGAGCATGCCTACATAAGGAAGGCCCTGTAAAAACTCTGGGCACAGAAGTCTTAAGGGTCTTCCTGGTTGGTGAACACCTTGATGTGCCAGGAGGGCTACATGCCCAGAATCCACAGGGAGAGGGCGTGAAAGCTTTGCACTAGGATCTCCCCAGACCTCGCCCCATGTGCCTCTTCATTTGGCTGTTCCTGGTTTGTATCCTTTATAATAAAATTACAAGTGTAAATATAGCATTCTCCTGAGTTCTGTAAGTCATTCTAGTGAATTGACCCTGAGGGAGTCATGGGAACCCCTGGATTTCTAGCCAGTTGGTCAGAAGTATGGGTGGCCCCGGTATACCATTTGCAGCTTATCTGAAATAAGGACAGTCTTGTGCAACACTAAGTCCTTAACTCATAGAGTTTATGTTAACTCTGGGTGTTTTAAGCCAGAAATGAGTAGTAGTACACTCAGTTGGTACTAGACTAGTAGTCCAGGGTTAAAACATAATATCATATTTTTTTTTACTGGTAAATTATAAAATACTAGTTCCCTAAAAGCAAAATGACTTGCAATTCAGCCAACTTCTGTGGTGATGATACTATAGAAGTATACTTAATGAAGACTAATGGAGCTTTTATTAATAAATAAATGTATATAATCTGTGATAAATTATCTGTATTCTTAAAAACACATTTCCCTTCTAATCACTGCAGAAAAGACACTTATTTTTATCCCCTTTGGCTCCTTTAACAATATAATCAGATGGCTTCAAAAACTCTGCTGTTGTGAAAATAGCAGAAGCAAGAGACATCACAAGGAAGTTTTCAAAAACAAACTTCAGCTGGTGTGGCAATTAACAAGCAATTCAAATGTTTAGAGGATAAAACCTATAGAACTTAGATCTTTATACTAGTGTCTGCACCTTCACTTCTAAAGTTAACTTTGACCATCATCAACTTTCAAAAAACACCTTATTCGTGCCACATTCTGTCCAGGCACCAGGGACACAGACATAGTCCCTACCCTAAAGGAACTCAGTATAATTTTGTGGGAAAGAAATACACAATTCTAAATATAATACAATATAATGCTATGTTATACAGAGTGCTATGAGAACACAGAGGATATGTATCAAATCCAGACACCAGAAGGGGCTTCCTCTAAGAAGCTAGAAAAATAAGTGGGCAGAGAGAATTCCTGACAGAAGCAGCAGCACATACAAACCTTCTCAAGGCAAAAGAGTTCACTGAAGTGAGGGCATGATGTTTGGGAGGGAATGTGGAGGCAAGGTAAAGAAGATGGGGCCAGAGAAATGAACAGGGATCAGACCATGAAAGGCCATTTTATGGTGTTTACATTTCATACTGAAAACAATGAGGAACTACTAAAGGATATTAAGCTGGGGAGTGACATAATCAGATTTGTATTTCAGCAAGAAGGCTGAGGCATGGAAAAGGGTTGCTAAGAGGCATTACCAAAAGCAAGTAAACCAATTAAGAGACTGGGACAACAGTTAAGATAGGAAAGGTAAAGACCCTATAGCTAGGAACCGGAAGTGAAAGATGGAGAGAAGGGATGAATTCAAGAGACCAGTAAAGAGGCAGAATCCCGAGGACTTTTTCAACTACATATGGGACACTGAAGAAGGCACAGTCAAGGATGACATCTAGTTTTCTATCTTGGATAATTAGGTATATGCTTATGTCATTTTACCAAGACAGAGAACACTGAAGGAAAAACAGAGTTATGGGAAATGATAAATTCTGCATGGACATGCTTACTATGAGGCACCTGTGGGACATCTAAGTGGAGTCAACCAGGAGGGCGTTACAGACACAGGTGTGGAGTGACATGGGCTATCCCTAATCCTATACTACTTGTCACAGATTCTCACTGCTTACAGGGATTCTTATAATTTGTGAGGAAATACTTGGAATAGTTTCTTAATTCAACCTTCTTAAAAATTTGTAACAGAGTATCTCTAATGACTGGTCAGCAAACCTAAAATTCTCTTTCTTCACTAGCCAAGCAAAACCTAGCGTAAGAAGTTAGCATGTGGCCAGGCGCAGTGGCTCACGCCTCTAATCCTAGCACTCTGGGAGGCTGAGGTGGGAGAATTGCTCAACGTCAGGAGTTCGAAACCAGCCTGAGCAAGAGCAAGACCCCCGTCTCTACTAAAAATAGAAAGAAATTAATTGGCCAACTAAAAATATATAGAAAAAATGAGCCAGGCATGGTGGTACATGCCTGTAGTTCCCAGCTACTCGAGGACTGAGGCAGGAGGATTGCTTGAGCCTAAAAGTTTGAGGTTGCTGTGAGTTAGGCTGATACCACAGCACTCTAGCCTGGGCAACAGAGTGAGATTCTGTCTCAAAAATAAAAAAATAAAAAAAAAAGAAGTTAGCGTCTGAAATTTCAGAGCCAAATCTAGAAGGCTATTCTTTTTTTTTTTTTCTTTTTTTGAGACAGAGTCTCACTTTGTTGTCCAGGCTAGAGTGAGTACCATGGCGTCAGCCTAGCTCACAGCAACCTCAAACTCCTGGGCTCAAGCGATCCTACTGCCTCAGCCTCCCCGAGTAGCTGGGACTACAGGCATGTGCCACCATGCCCAGCTAATTTTATATATATATATATCAGTTGGCCAATTAATTTCTTTCTATTTATAGTAGAGACGGGGTCTTGCTCTTGCTCAGGCTGGTTTTGAACTCCTGACCTTGAGCAATCCGCCCACCTCGACCTCCCAGAGAGCTAGGATTACAGGCGTGAGCCTCCGCGCCCAGCCAGAAGGCTATTCTTGACTGTTTTAAACGATGAAAATGACATCTAGAAAGAATGCCTATTTAACATAATTGAGAACTTATAATATGTAATAGAAGATCCATGGGGGCAGGAAATTATCCGTCTTGTTCACTGCTGTATCACCAGCACCTAAAGCAATGTATTGCACATAGTAGACTACTGAATACATATTTGTTGAATGAATAAATTCCTTAAGAAAAATGCTGTAATGAGTGGATAAATGAGTGTCTAGGTAGGCAAGGAGTCAAGTAAGAGAAAGATTTGATAGCTTTGATTCTCTTAGGCCAAGAAAGCTGCAGTGCTATCAACTCTTCAGTATACTGGTACAGTTCCTTGCCAGTTTCAGGAAGTCACAAGGACTTTTAATAGTTCTCTAAGTATTAAGGACAAAGAAATCATCTCTAGACTATCTTTATGGGCTTAAGACTGCTTATCCTAACTCTACTACTCAGCAACAGCAAAATTTTGTTGCACATGTACTATGTCCAAGTATCCTGATAGATAATGTAGAAACAAAGATGAGACATAACCCCAGCTAAAGGATCATCATCACCAGAAGAGTAACTGTGATATACTGTGATGTTTTATGATAGAGGTACAAAGGGAAGCCAAGGTGAGAGGACTGCTTAAAGCCAGAGTTTGAGACCAACCTGGGCAACGCAGTGAGACCCCCATCTCTACAAAAAATTAGCCAGGCATGGTAACATGCACCTGTAGTCCCAGCTACAGAAGCTGAGGCAGGAGGGTCACTTGAGCCCAGGAGTTCAGGGCTACAGTGAGATACAATGACTCTGCTGCACTCCAGCCTGGGCAGCAAAGTGAAACTCTGTCTCAAAACAAAACAAAACAAAACAAAACACCCAAAGGAGTCTGAATTTATCATATAAACAATGGGAATCATTCACAAAATACCCTTAGATTTAGGGCATGGGATTACATACTATTTGTTAATTAGGTATGTCTTAAACTTAAACATTCATTTAAAATCAGGCGAATACAGAGAAATAGGAGCAGCATGAAGTATTAGGAATATGGGGTAATGATCCACTTGTAGTATAAAATGTTTCTTGTCATGGCTTTATGTTTATTAAATGTGCTAAATTTGTTTAATAGTGCAGAAATAATTTACTGAGCACCTACTATATTCCAGGCTCTGTGCTAAGCATTAAGAACATAAAGATAAGAAATGGCTCTTGCCTCAAGGATTTTATAATCTACTACAAGGAAAAATATACATATTTATTATTTTGCCAATAGTTAGAATGAACTTGGCCAAGTTGCCTAATTTCCGTAAACCTAATTTTTATTATCTATAACTGCAGTCCCCAACCGTTGGGCCATGGACCAGTACCCATCTGTGGCCTGTTAAGAACTGGGCCGCACAACAGGAGGTGAGCAGCGGGTGAGCAAAGTTTCATCTGTACTCACAGCTGCTCCCCATCACTCGACATCCCCTTGCCACGCCCCACTCCCTGGTCCACAGAAAAATTGTCTTCCACAAAACTGGTCCCTGGTACCAAGAAGGTTGGGGATCTCTGATCTATAACATGAGCATAAAAATATCTATCTTATAGGACCCTTGAAAGGATTAAATTAAAATATACATAAAGATACCTAGCACAGTGACACTTAGTTGAAATTTAATAAAGCTAGCTACTATTCTCTTATTGCCTGGTGGTATTGCTTTCATAGAGATTCTAGTTATGTGCCATCAATTCAATTCCCAGTGGACCAATTTTCTTCAGCAACCCGTAAGCTATAAGCAAGGCATTGTGCCAGGCTCTAAGTATTCAAAAATTATTCATTTGTAATATATTTAATTTTTTTACTTCAAATTATTTTTTAGGATACAAATAACCATAATGTTCTACCAGAATAAGAATTAATGATACTAAATTATTTAAAATGCATTCCAGTTACTAATTTGCATTTTATAAACTTTTTTTTTTTTTTTGAGACAGAATCTCCCTTTGTTGCCCAGGCTACTAGAGTGAGTGCCATGGCATCAGCCTAGCTCACAGCAACCTCAAACTCCTGGGCTCAAACAATCCTTTTGCCTCAGCCTCCCAAGTAGCTGGACCTATAGGCATGCGCCACCATGCCTGGCTAATTTTTTCTATATATATCAGTTGGCCAATTAATTTCTTTCTATTTCTGGTAGAGATGGAGTCTCGCTCTTGCTCAGGCTGGTTTCGAACTCCTAACCTTGAGCAATCCGCCGGCCTCCCAGAGTGCTAGGATTACAGGCGTGTTTATAAACATTTTAATTGATCAAAACAAACTGAGGAAAGTTTTAAGGAATGGCTTAAAATGGTGATTGGTTCTTCTCTTCTCTTCTCTTCTCTTCTCTTGTCTTGTCTTCTCTTCTCTTTTCTTTTCTTTTCTTTTCTTTTTGAGACAGAGTCTCACTCTGTTGCCAGGGCTAGAGTGAGTGCCGTGGTATCAGCCTAGCTCACAGCAACTTCAAACTCCTGGGCTCAAACGATCCTCCTGCCTCAGCCTTCCAAGTGGCTGGCACTACAGGCATGTGCCACCATGCCCGGCTAATTTTTTCTATTTTTAGTTGGCTAATTAATTTCTTTCTATTTTTAGTAGAGATGGGGGTCTCGCTCTTGCTTGGGCTGGTTTCAAACTCCTAACCTTGAGCAATCCTCCCGCCTCAGCCTCCCAGAGTGATATTTTCAACTAAAATTGTTATAATAAATTTCATTAATTAGAGTTACAATGTATGACCAATTATATCTTTTAGTACCATTCATTCATGTTTTTAAAAATAAGAGTCATTGGCCGGGTGTGGTGGCTCACGCCTGTAATCCTAGCACTTTGGGAGGCCGAGGTGGGCGGATTGCTCAAGGTCAGGAGTTCGAAACCAACCTGAGCAAGACCCCGTTTCTACCAAAAATAGAAATAAATTAATTGACCAACTAAAAATATATATACAAAAAATTAGCCGGGCATGGTGGCGCATGCCTGTAGTCCCAGCTACTCAGGAGGCTGAGGCAGTAGGATCGCTGAGCCCCGGAGATTGAGGTTGCTGTGAGCCAGGCTGACGCCACGGCACTCACTCTAGCCTGGGCAACAAAGTGAGACTCTGTCTCAAAAAAAAAAAAAAGAGTCATTAAACTTAAATAATATTCTAAATATTAAACAGGCTAAAAACTAGAACTGAAAAGTTGTCAGAAGGTTACCTGGGTACAAGCTTTTTATAAAAAGAAAATAAAACATTCTAGTTACTATCTTTAAGGTCTTACATTTTCTTTTCAAGTATAAAGTTACATATTACACAGTAGGATAATTTAGATTTTCATTATTTCAAGTCTCTAAAATACTTACGGGTTATTAACTGAATGTTTATGATTTTTCCATCCAATTTTTGCAAAATGTTCAATTTTTGTTCCTATAGAGAAAGCAAACAACTATTAGTAGGTTACTGTTTTTCTGCTGCTTATTAAAAATGTTGTAATGGTACTACATGTTATGCTCAATATTTCCATGTTTTCCCTTGTGTAGGTATCATCAGTACTGAAGACATCAACACTGATTCCTCACATAAATTTTTTATGATTAAATCTGGGTATTTGATAAATTAAATCAAATAATGGACATATGAGATGAAAGTAGTTTCAATTGGTCTATTCTACTTAGCATAACTAGGGTCAATTCAAAAAAAGAGAAAATAAAGTCTGGGACCACAGTAGTTTTAAGGCATGAGAGCACTGCCAACAACCTCCCAGCAGGTTGCCAAACACCCCAGTGCTCCAGACTGAGTGAATTTTACAACTCACATCTTCCAGGTCTTGTAATCCTAGCACTCTGGGAGGCTGAGATGGGAGGATTGCTTGAGCTTAGGGGTTCAAGACCAGCCTGAGCAACAGCAAGACCCCCATTTCTACTACAAATAGAAATAATTAGCTGGGCAACTAAAAACAGAAAAAAAAAAAATTAGCCGGATGTGATGGCACCCATCTGTAGTCCCAGCTACTCAGGAGGCTGAGGCAAGAGGATCACTTGAGCCCAGAAGTTTGAGGTTGCTGTGAGCTAGGCTGATGCCACAGCACTATCCCTGAGGCAAGAGAGTGAGACTCTGTCTCAAAAGATTTTTAAAAATGAAAATATAATAATAATAATAATATACTCTAGCAATAGATCTAAGTGGGGAACATAATATAATTATCTCATACATGCTGGAAAAGCTGGAAAATTCAATACTCATTTCTGGGAAAAGAAAAAAACCTTAAGAAATAGGAATTGGTGGATACTTTCTCAACACATGACAGAGATATCTTTGTGCTGAAGTCAGGATCTTACTTAAAGGAAAAACACCAAGTTCAGGAACAGGACAAAAATGCCTGCTATCTCCAGCACTGTTTAACATTGTACGTAAGGTATTAGCTAATGCAATTAGAAATTAGATAAGAGCAATCAATTTGAAGTATTACAATTAGTAAAGAAGTAGCAAAACTATCTTTTTTTTTACTAAGCTAAGAAAACAAAACAAAACAAAAACTATCTCTTTTATATATGATATAGTTGCATATCTATCAACACCTATAAATAAATCAATAATAAAAACTCAAAATTAAATGCTTTAGTAAGATAGCAGGTCATAAAATTAATATACAGAAATTGACTATGACAAATTCATTGACTATGAAATCAATAGTCTTCATATAAACAAATAATGACCAGTTGAGAGGACATAACAGCAGTGAAAAATCCATGTGCAATAGCAACAAAGATGATTAAAGAAATTAAAATAAACATTTATGAATAAATTTAAGAAGAAATAAAACATTTATTTATTTATTTATTTTTTGAGACAGAGTCTCACTTTGTTGCCTGGGCTAGAGTGAGTGCTGTGGTATCAGCCTAGCTCACAGCAACCTCAAACTCCTGGGCTCAAGCGATCCTACTGCCTCAGCCTCCCGAGTAGCTGGGACTACAGGTATGCGCCACCATGCCTGGCTAATTTTTTTTATATGTATATATATATTGAGTTAGCCAATGAATTTATTTCTATTTATAGTAGAGATGGGGTGTCGCTCTTGCTCAGGCTGGTCTCGAACTCCTGACCTTGAGCAATCCACCTGCCTTGGCCTCCCAGAGTGCTAGGATTACAGGCGTGAGCCACCGCGCCTGGCTGAAAATACCAATAAAATTTTTTGTGGAGCTAGACAAATTGCAAGGAAAGTTCAAATGGGGGAAAAAAAAACCCATGTACACAATCCATGCATGAATATAGCCAAGAAAACACTGAGAAACTATGAGGGGTTCTTGGGCCAGAAAAAGGATGTTAGGATAACTGGTGAAATTTAGAATAAGGTCCGTAGATGAGATGATAATATATCAATATTAACTTCCTGATTTTGATAATTGTAATATGGTTATTCTCAAACATTTTTTAAGATTCTACAGCAATATTGTCAGAATGGCCATTAGTAAAAAGTCAAAAAATAGATTTTGGCGCAGATGCAGTAAAAAGCTTCTTCACTGTTAGTGGGAATGCAGATGAGTACAACGTCTATGGAAAATGGTATGGAGATGTCTCAAAGAACTAAAAGTAGATCTATTAATACCATTCGATCCGGCAATCCCACTACTAGGTATCTACACAAAGGAAAGCAAGTCATTATATCAAAAAGATACCTGTACTTGTATGTTTATTGTGGCACAATTCACAATCAGCAAGGATATGGAATTAACCTGAGTCCCCAGCAACAGAGAAGTGGATAAAGAAAATGTGGTATATATACACCATAGAACACTACTCAGCCATAAAAAAGAATTAAATAATGTCTTCTGCAGGACCTTTGATGGAACTGGAGGCCACTATCCTAGTGAAGTAAAACAGGAATGGAAAACCAAATAGTATATGCTATCACTTAAAAATGTGAGCTAAAGCTACAGATACACAGGAACATATAGAGTGGTACAATGTCTCTCTGGTGCTCTTCTTACTAAAATTAAAAAAAAAAAAAAGGAGTAGTGCTATGGACATTAAAAACTCAGAAGGGGGAAACTGAGCCAGGTGAAGGAAGAAAAACTACCTATCAGGTATGATGTATACTATTCAGGTGACAGGTACAGTAAAAACCCAGACATCATCACTATACAACTCATCCATGTATTTGCTAGTTCTGTGCCTTAAAAAAAATAATTCATACAGATGAGGAAGTAGTTGAAAAAAAAATTCATCTATGTAACCAAAAACCACTTGTACCCATAAATGCATCAAAATGAAAAAAACATGCACTCCAGTTCACTTTTGTCAAAAAGGAAAAGAAAAAAAATGAAAAACACAGATTATGCAGTGAAAGAAATAAAAGAGAAGTCATTTTTTAAAAAATGGAATGCCATAATGTTCATGTTTAAGGAATCTGGGGGAAGGGTACTTGGAATTTTTTGTACTATTTTTGCAACATTCTGGTTAAGCCAATAATCACTTCAAAACAAAATGTTTTTAAAAGTGTATTACAGGCCAGGTGCCATGGCTTACACCAGTAATCCTAGAACTTTGGGAGGCAGGTGGATTGCTTGAGGCCAGGAGTTCAAGACCTGCCTGAGCAAGAGCTACAAAAATACAAAAATTAGCTAGACATAGTGATGTGTGCCTATACTCCCAGCTACCCAGGAGACTGAGGCAGGAGGATTACTTGAGCCCAGGAGTTTGAGGTTGCAGTGAGCTATGATTGTGCCACTATACTCCAGCCTGGGCAACAGAGTAAGACCTTGTCTCACCAATAATAATAATTTTATATTTTATATATCCTGGCATCTTCCACAGTTCCTTAATAAATACTGGTTGTTTCTTATCTCATGTATATAACTAATAATAAGCCTTAAAGTTTTTAACTTTAACATACCATATTTTTCCATATGTTCTCTTCCAGCAAACCCAAACATCTGAGGAGCAACTGGGCAGGCAGACAATTCATACTTATTGCTTAGGACATCAAGATGTTTATCAAGTGGATTGGTCCTACCTGAAAACTAAGAGAGGGGGTAAGAAAACAAAATTCATAAGTAGCTGGCATTATAAGAGTCTCTTTCAACTTCTACATTACTAACACATTTGTCTATTCTAGGAACATGGTAAACCAAAATTAGTCAATGTGAATAAAATCAGTCAAGAAATGCTTTCTAGGGGCGAGGCACGGTGGCTGACACCTGTAATCCTAGCATTCTGAGAGGCCGAGGCGAGTGGATTGGTTGAGATCAGGAGTTTGAGACTAGCCTGAGCAAGAGCAAGACACCGTCTCTACTAAAAATAGAAAGAAATTATATGGACAATTAAAAATATAGATAGAAAAAATCAGCTGGCATGGTGGCACATGCCTGTAGTCCCAGCTACTCGGGAGGCTGAGGCAGAAGGATGGCTTGACCCCAGGAGTCTGAGGTTGCTGTGAGTTAGGCTGATGCCACTGCACTCTAGCCCGAGTGACAGAGTGAGACTCTGTCTCAAAAAAAGAGGAAAATTGGTTAAAAGGAAGAAAACAAACAAATAAATAGTTTTAGTTAAATATGATTAACAACCTGCCAATCCAAAAAGCAAAGACAACTGTGCTGATAAATGGGTCTTATGGAATCTCTGAACAAAGGCATCTTAAAAATAGTATACAAAATTATGTGTTTGGATGGCCATTGGAGAAAATGTTTTTTCCTGAAAAAGATATAAAAAATAAGTCTGAGAAACATAGCAAGACCCCATCTCTACAAACAATTTAAAAAGTAGCCAGGCATTGTGGCACATACCGATAATCCCAGCTACTTGGGAGCCTTGGGTAGGAGCATCACTTGAGCCCAGGAGTTTGAGGTTGCTGTGAGCTAGGCTGACGCCACTACACTCTAGCCCGGGCAAGAGAGCGAGACTCTGTCTCAAAAAAATAAAATTTTCTTTTGATACTTGAAAGACATTGGTTCACTGTCTTTTGGCTTTCATTGTTTCTGTTTCTTTCTTTTCTTTTTTTTTTTTTGAAGAGTACTGAAAATGACAAACATGTGAGGAAAATAAGTATTTTTTATTTTTAAAATATCTTTTAAATATCATTTAAATCTTATTATATACCACTTAATCCTAAATATTTATATATCTAATATCAGAGCTTCAAAGTACACCTGTAATCCTAGCACTTGGGGAGACTGAGGTAGGAGGATTGCTGAAGCCAGGAGTGGGAGACCAGTCCGAGAAACCCTATTTCTACAAAAAAATAGAAAAATCAGCTGAGTGTGGTGGCACATGTCTGTAGTCCCGGCTACTCCAGAGGCTGAGGGAAGAGGATCACTTAAGCCCAGCAGTTTGAGGTTGCAGTGAGCTATGATAATGCCACTGCACTCTAGCTCGTGCAACAGAGAGAGCCTGTCTCAAACAAAGAAAAAGAAAAATTAAAATCTTCTGTTCTGCAAAAGACACTGTTAAGAGAATGAAAGGAGGCCAGCCACACTGAAAGAAAATATTTGCAAGAGACATATCTGAAAAAGGACTGTTATCTAAAATTTACAAAGAACTCCTAAAACTGAAAAATAAGAAAATTAACCACCCAATAAAAACATGGGCCAAATACCTTAACAGATAACCTCACCAAAGATATATAGATAACAAATAAGTATATGGAAAGATGTTCTATCTATATCACATGTCATCAGAAAAATACAAATTAAAACAAGATACCACTATACACCTATTAGAATGGCCAAAATCCAGAACACTAATAGCAAATGCTGGCAAGGATGTAAAGTAATAGATATTTTCATTCATTGCTGGTAGGAATGAAAAATCATATAGCCAGTTTGGCAGTTTCTTATAAAACTAAAAATACTTTTACCATACGCTCCAGCAATCATACTCTTTGGTATTTATCCAAAGAAGTTAAAGACAAGTCCACACAAAAACCTGCACACAGATGTTTATAGTAGCTTTATTCATAGTTGCCAAAACTTGGAAGCAACCAAGACATCCTTCAGTAAGTGACTGGATAAACTACAGTATAAACAGACAATGAAATATTATTCAGGACTAAAAAGAAATAAGCTATCAAGTCATTAAAAGAAGTAGAGGGGGCCGGGCGAGTTTGCTCACGCCTGTAATCCTAGCACTCTGGGAGGCCAAGGTGGGCGGATTACTTGAGGTCAGGAGTTCAAAACCAGCCTGAGTAAGAGCGAGACCCTGTCTCTACTATAAATAGAAAGAAATTAATTGGCCAACTAATATATATAGAAAAAATTAGCCGGGCATGGTGGCGCATGCTTGTAGTCCCAGCTACTCGGGAGGCGAAGGGAGAAGGATTGCTTGAGCTCAGGAGATTGAGGTTGCTGTGAGCTAGGCTGACGCCACGGCACTCACTCTAGCCTGGGCAACAAAGCAAGACTCTGTCTCAAAAAAAAAAAAAAACCATTGAATGTACAAAGCCAAGAGTGGACCCTAATATAGACTACAGATGTTGGGTGATAATGATTTGCCAGTGTAGGTCCATCAACTGTAACAAATGTACCACTCTAGTGAGGGATGCTGATAATGGCGGTGGCAATGCTTGTGTAGGGGAGGGGAGTATATGGGATATCTCTGCACTCTCCTCTCAATTTTGCTATAAACCTAAAACTGCCCTTAAAAAATTAAATCTTTTTTAAAAATTGGGGCAAAAGGCCAGGCGAGGTGGCTCACACCTGCAATCCTAGCACTTTGGGAGGCCAAGGCGGATGGATGGCTCAAGGTCAGGAGTCCAAAACCAGCCTGAGCAAGAGCAAGACCCTGTCTATACTAAAAATAGAAAGAAAATTAATTGGCCAACTAAAAATATATAAAAACATTAGCTGGGTATGGTGCCACATGCCTATAGTCCCAGCTACTCGGGAGGCTGAGGCAGAAGCTTGAGCCCAGGAGTTTGAGGTTGCTGTGAGCTAGGCGGAGGCCACGGCTCTCTAGCCAGGGCAACAGAGTGAGACTCTGTCTCAAAAAAAAAAAAATAAATAAATAAATAAAAATAAAAATTGGGGGAAAAAACAGAAATTAAAGGGTAAGTATGGAGAGTGGGAGAAAATATTTGTAAAGTATATCTAACAAGAGCTTGTACCTATCTAGAACATATAAAGAACTGTTACAACACAACAAAGAGAAAATAACCAACAATAAGTGAGCAAAAGGTTTGAATAGTCATTGAATTCACCAAAGAAGATATACCAGTGGCAAATAAATACATGAAAAATAAAATGCTCAACACCATCAAACATAGGGAAACGCAAATCTCCTATAGGGAAAACCACTATATACCCATTTCTGTGAAGAAAATTAATAAGGATGATTATGACAAGAAAACTATAGACCCATGCCTCTTATAAATGTAGATGAAAAAATCAACAAAACCCAATAAATGGAATACAGTAACATATAAAAAGAATTATACATCCATAACCAAGTGAGATTTATTCAAGGAATCCAAAGTTGTTTTAACATCTGAAAATTAATTAATGTAATATACTATATCAATAGGAAAAGGACAAACACCACAGTCATCTAAATAGAAAAAAAAAAAGCATTTAACAAAATCCAAGACATTTGCATGACAAAAACTCAAAAAACTAAGAAAACGAGGGAAATTACTCAACCTAATAAAAGGCATTTATCAAAAACCCACAGGTTGGCCATGTGTGGTGGCTCACGCCTATAATCCTAGCACTCTGGACCTTGAGAGCTTGTTTGGAGATTCTAGCAGGGGAGTGCAGCTACTCGTATACCCTTGACGGAACCGAAGACCGGTCCTCCTCTAGCAGGAAACGTCGTCCTCTTCCACCTAGTGTGCAGCTTCAGGAGGGACGCACATGGAGCGGTGAGGGAGGAAGGGGACACCCGCCTAGCCAGCCAGATCAGCTGAATCAACCCTGGCGATCAATGGGGTGACAGATGTCCCAGCTAGATCACCCTCATATACAATCCTAGCACTCTGGGAGACCCAGGTGGGTGGATCGTTTGAGCTGGGGAGTTCGAGACCAGCCTGAGCAAGAGCAAAACCCTGTCTCTACTAAAAATAGAAAGGAATTAATTGGCCAACTAAAAATATGTAGAAAAAATTAGCCAGGCATGGTGGCGCATGCCTGTAGTCCCAGCTACTTAGGTATGCTGAGGCAAGAGGATCACTTGAGCCAAGAAGTTTGAGGTTGCAGTGAGCTAGGATGACACCACTGTACTCCTTCCCAGACAACAGAGGGAGATTCTGTCTCCAAAAAAGAAAAAATTTGTTTATAAACAATTTTTGACATGAAATACTCCAATTATAATATTAAGTGAAAAATGAAGTATATCAAATTCTAGATATAGCACGTCAACTCTTTTTTTTTTTGAGACAGAGTCTCGCTTTGTTGCCCAGGCTAGAGTGAGTGCCGTGGTGTCAGACTAGCTCACAGCAACCTCAAACTCCTGGGATCAAGCAATCCTACTGCCTCAGCCTCCAGAGAAGCTGGGACTAACAGGCATGCGCCGCCATGCCTGGATCATTTTTTCTATATATATATTAGTTGGCCAATTAATTTCTTTCTATTTATAGTAAAGACGGGGTCTCGCTCTTGCTCAGGCTGGTTTTGAACTCCTGACCTCGAGCAATTCGCCTGCCTCGGCCTCCCAGAGTGCTAGGATTACAGGCGTGAGCCACCACGCCTGGCCTTGTCAACTCTTTTTATTCCTAAATTAGCAAATCATTTAATGATGATTATTATTACAGGTAATTATTTCCTCTTTATTTCTTCTGCATTCTTCCATTTTCTATGACTTTTACACAAGGAAAATAAAATTGTTAAGACATGCACCCCCCCTAAAAGTAGGTCATGAGAATATAAGAAATAGCTATAGAAATCTGCAAACCTCTTCAAACACTTATGATAATATAATCATAAAAGCTTGGCATCTGTCATTCTAACTATCGAGGGATGAAATACCTATTTTACCTTTTACCCTATGTCTTAGTCAGTTTGGGCTGCTATAACACCATACTAGAGACTGGTTG